CTTACTGCTACCGCTGCTGCCGCCGCCACCCTGCTGGCGGCGGCCTGTGCGGCGGGGCGAGGGCGCTGCCCTCGCCTACAGGCGGCACGCTCGCTGGCGGCGCTGCCGCTGCAGGTGGGCTCCCCCTTCGGGCGTCGCTGCCTCCGCAGGCGGTGCTGTCCCTTCGGGCGGCCGCCCCTGTGGGGGGGGTTTCGCCCGCGGGAGCAGCGGCGGCAGGCGCCGTTGCCCTACGGCGCCTCTGCCCGTGGGCTGCCAGCCCCGCCAGCAGCAAGCCTGCTGCAAGCAGACCGCCGGCCGGCTGCTGCAGGCACAGCGCTTGCGCATGCGCCGGCGCTGTGCTGCCTGGCTGCGGTTGCCGCTGCAGGTGGCTGCAGGCATGCAGATCGAGGGTAGCAACTGTTACTGCCCTTCCTCGCTTTTGCGTCAACGATTTTGACGTCAAAATTCTTCCTAAACACAACACACGCAGTTCAAAACCAATCATTCGCACGAACAACCTGGCTCTGATACCACTGTTGGGAAATCATTGGGGGCGACATCATATGCGCAGCGAAAGAACAAGAAAACAAAATCCCCGATTCCCAAAAAGATGTTCGTCGTCGTGCGAAGATTGGTGCGTAAAAATCCGCAAAACACAAAACTGCGTATAGAGATTGTGTTACCTAGGGAGATCGTATATCCCTGTTTCCTTGCAGATCCTTAGGAGAGGGTGAAGGAGGTCACGATGTCCCTCTCGAGTAACCTATGACCGGGATTATTTAGGATATGTGTTTAAAGGTGAATCGATCTCATTATCGTGATCTCATCACGATCCGATTCCCATTGCACAAATCCAAGGACATCACAATATATATATTCATTTATGCAATAGTTATAAAGTGATATACGCCAAAATATAATAAGCAAAAAGATTCTGTATCAAGTCACACGTGCCATCACTCATGTGATTGGCTTGCTGGGCACCTATGACTAGCAGTACACACGGTCTTCCATATGTCAGATGATAGTACCACCCAGAATAAGCAATAATACCGTCAGTTGTTAGGGGTGAATGCGGTGGTACCACCCAATACTAGTAGTAGTACCGCCAATACTCTTGAAACCGGGGATGAGACAATTTTTGGCTCCATTTTTTAAGAGAAGACTTTTGAAACCTATTTTCTATAATATTTTATAATTCAAAATCGATTGAAATTAAGAAGATCTTCATTCTAGTCTTCCAATATATGTAATCCATCCCATTGAACATGGGCAGACATATAATTGAATAACCCTCTTGGTTGTCGACAAATGCTATCTCTCTTGGGTTTAAAACCAAATGAGAGTGAACCTTGCTTTGATACCAACTATTAGGATCAAGAGCGACACTAATAGGGGAGGTGAATTGGTGCAGTGGAAAACTTTTATTATTTCAAAAGTCTTCGTTTCGATTAAAACTAATTCTGACAAAAATCATTTCGTTTCAATCCATTTCGGAGAGAAATTGAATTTGAAAGCTTTCGTAAAAGTGCAAAGAGAAGATTAAGGAGGTTTGCAGTAATGTAAATTACATAAATGAAAAGCAAATTAGAATTTAGAGTGGTTTGATCGATGTGACCTACATCTACATTCAGATTCCTCCTCCGTCGAGGTCACCGGCATCCACTAAAGATCTTTCTTTAATAGGTGAAGACCAAACACCTCTTTACAGCGCTTTCTCCTTTTCTCGGGTTTAGGAGATAACCCTTACAAGCCTCACTCCTCTTTCTTGGATGTTTATGAAGCTAAGAGAGGGAGGGGAGGTCTCTTTCTAACTTTTACAATACTTAACACCATAGAGATTCAAGATTATGTTAAACACTTTCGTGCCCTTTCATGCATAAAAGGATAGGGTTTTTATAGGCCCTAATGACTTCAAAATCAGAGCAAAAAAGTGTCACATCCCTAGATTTTAGGGTACTGGCGATACCACCATTGTTACTGGGCGGTACTACTACCGTTGGTCTGACACCAGGTAGTACCACCGCTTGATAGGGGAGGTACCACTACATGACAGGGGAGGTACCACCGCCCTGACAAGCCGGGACACTATCTTCCAAGCAGTGCCACCACCGGCCAAGATTTCAAGTGCTGAATGGGCTGCTCAATTCTGCCAAATTCAGCCTTGTTAAGAGCCTAGTTGGCCCCTAATTAAGTTAGCGGGATTATCTCCCAATCCTAACTTAATTTATGATCTAACTATGATAATTAAGACATAATCATAGCACTTCTTGTTCCGGTTTGTCAATTGCTCTTCCAACGAGCTTCCGACGAACTCTCGGTAATGCTTCGGACTCTCGACAAGCTCCTAGACTTTACGATGATCTTCTTGGCGAGTTCCAACGAGCTTCTGGACTTCTCGGTTGGTTCCGACAGAACTTCCGACGAACGTTTAGACTTCCAACGAACTCTTGAACTCCCAACGAGATCTTGATCTTGACTCCGGTACAATGCCTACTTTATGTCTTGCTGCTATCGTAGTTAATCCTGCACACTTTTCTCAACATATAGATTAGATCAAACAATTTACAATTGACTTAATCATCAAAATCCGAGATTCAACATATAGTAGATATACTTGGACATAATTCTTGTCATATAAAAGTGATTGTTTTAAATATTTTACGAAGTTTTGCAAACAAGTTTAAAATGAAAAAAAATTTATGATTTCTTCTATTCGTAGTGATTATGGTGGTGAATTTAAAAACCATAATTTTCAAGAATTTTATGATTCAAATGAGTATAACTATAATTTCTTTACTCTAAGAAATTCATAACAAAATAGAGTTGTTAAGAGAAAGAAAATAGAAGTTTACAAGAGATGGTAAGAACTATGCTTAATGAACATAGCCCACCCAAATATTTTGGGGTCGAAGTTGTTAATACGATATGTTATGTCATGAACAAGGTTCTTATAAGACCATTATTATCTAAAATTCCTTATGAATTGTAGAATAATAAAAGACTCAACATTTCGTATTTAAAAAATTTTTATTGTAAATATTTTATTTTAAATAAAAATAATGTCTTAGGAAAATTTGATATAAAATCGGATGTAGGTATTTTTCTTGGATATTCCTCTATTTCTAAAGCTTATCGAGTTTTACTCTAGAGGAATATATCCATGTTATTTTTAATGAGTTTTCTAATTAAAAAAAAAAATAATTTTGATGATGATTTTGAATTTGATACATTGAATTTAAATGAGAATTCTCCTCTTCCAAGCAACTAGGATGTATCTACTTTCAAAGAATCCTTACTGAAGGAATGGAAGTACGTAGATGCATATCCTAAGAAGGTAATCATTGGAGATACATCAAAAGATGTTTAAACTCATTCTTCATTTAAAATTTTTTGTACAAATGCTATCTTTTTGTCTTAAATTTTTATTCAAACTGGTTCATGAGAGTTGGTTGTCCCCCTCCATCGTGCATGGCTTCGCCCTCTCTGTTGCAGCTCTCATATGAGAGTTAGCCACCTCCCTCCATCGCATGTGGGGTCACCCTCTATCAGCTCTGGACGAGCACTATCACTATAGGCTACTAAGTTCCAACAAAAATGATAACGAAGACGATGATCGACGAGCTACGTTGGACACAAGCAAGGTAGAGAGGGGGCAACCAACTAAAAGATAGACTGATCATTTTAAAAAAATATTAGTTTAAAATTTTTCAAAGCAAAATTATTTTGTGAAAAAAATTTGAAAAAAGAACTTTTTCCAAGAATTCATTCTAATTCTTTTGCTTTAATAAAACCTGTTCTTGATATCAATAAAAAGATTGAAGCGCCAATATTATCTTTTTGAAGGCACCCTTGTGTTTTCTGCTTTTTCGAAACATAAGATTTAATGCTGCAAAGGATCTATTATCACTTTCTTAAGCTGATCTGAATAAATAGCGTTGAAGTACCATAATTACCTTGTTCAAAGCATCCTTATATCATCCAAACTGTCGCCGTCGTTTCGTTGAAGCGTAACATTTAATGCTGCAAAGGATCTATTATCATTTTCCTAAATCTGTCGTGATCTTGAAATTTTTTGCTGCAGTATCATCAAATTAGTAAGTGAATTAGATAATCCACGTATAAAATGATAATCGTATAACGTACCATGAGTTATACTAATAATAAAGTCCATATTCCGCTATCCATTTGTCCGCGCACCCATAAAAGCAGTGTGAAGTCAATGACTTGGTTGCTGCTGCTCCTCCCGGACCACGAAGCCAAAGTGGGTGGAAGAGCTGACATCTCATTAAAGCCTCTCACCCACAGAAACAAAGAGAAGGCAGGTCACAAACGAGCAAGAAGAAGACATGGCAAAGCTCAGCTCAGGCTTCACTCCGAGGAAGACTCCGCCCATGTTGGCGTCACTTCTCCTTGTTCTCCTCCTCCTGGAGAAGAGCACTGCTGTGGAGGTGGTGGTGAAGCTGCCTTGCAGTAGAAAAGTTGGAAGATGCTTGCTGGAGGATGGGGTGGAGTTGGAGATGAACTCAGAGGAGAACAGGAGGCTGCTGTGGGCTGTCACCGAGAAGAAGTACATAAGCTATGAGGCTCTCAAGGGGGATGTGGTGCCTTGCTCCAAACCTGGAGTGCCTTACTACAATTGCCATAGCTTCCCAAAGGCCAACCCCTACAGTAGGGGGTGTCAAATCATCAGTGGCTGTAGGGGTGACAGTCCTTAGCGAGGGAGGCCTGCCCTGCTGCTGCATCCATGAAATCAAGCATCAGGTGAGAGATGTCTACATTGTAGTATAAGCATGAAACTTAATATAAATGTTTCTGCATGACGTTGCAAATTGAATCCAAACTACTTGTAGTGTGTGACAGGTCTGTGTGTGGGGTGGATAAAGTTGCTCGTCTGTTGGATGAATCAAATTTACTACTCCAGAAACACAAATAGAAAGAACCATCAAACACAGACAGGCATGCAAGCAAACTGGAGGTGCACAGATTCAGGCCAGATACAGCTGTTCTAGTGGAGATGCTTTGTGAACATTAAAGAAGGAATGTGTTTTGCAGATTTCATTACCATTCATCCTACGTATGCTTTGTGGGATTTTGAGTGCTGTTCATTACATAATTTACGCTGTGCATATCCGTTTATTTCTCAAATCTTCAAAGGCAGGAGTTTGCAAACTCCAACCTTCGGTGGTTGCATACTATAATTTCCAAAAGGACATTTTAAGAAGAAAAAGAAGCTATATGTTTGCACATGGAAAAGCTAGGGTAAGTAGGAAAATACCAAATATAAGCTTTTAATTAACTAGCCTCAAGTGTCTATTACACAGGAAATAAATTCTTGCACCAAAGACAAAGGTCATCAGATGGGATTTGGCAATGCTTACCTGCAAGAGTTGTAGTCAAGACCTTTTTCTGGATAACAGATTGTGAGAAAGGGAGAATAAAGCGCCTAGTAAAAGCATTGCCAATATTTCCATTTTTCAGAAGGAAATATATCAAGTTGCTTACCATTTGGTATATAAGAGCTCAAATAATATGTTATAAGAGAAATCCAACTGAGGAAGTCAGTCTCTGGAACATCATCCATTCCACATCTTCTGTCTGCAAAATGATGATATGATTTAGTTAGCAGTTGGTGATCCGGACTTATCACTCTGGCTGGAAATAGCTGACGCAAATAAAGAGGAAGATCAGGGATGGAAATGAATGCGGCAGAGGAAATGGTTGGATGAGAAAAAATCAGGATCGGGACATTTTTCCTTACAGTATGAATTTATATTTCTCCTAAACTTTTTGACATTTACAGACCTCAAGCACAAAAATGAAAGAGATTTTCTATTGAATATTGAATAAGTTGGACCTTAAAGAATGCTTAAGAACAAAATGTGGTACAATCTATTTACAATATAACATGCTTGCATTCCAGTACTGTGTCCATCAAGCAAAGTAGATGGCACAAGCACTGTACCAGCAAAATGCTGTTGGAATCATCACCTTGTGGGCGCCAATACCATGTTTGGCATATTATGCATTATCCAGTACAGATCAGCATGAGTTAACTCCCAGATTAAATAGATCTGGTTGAGATACAGTACATAAGTATTGACATGGTCCTAGCACCTAAGTTGAAGGTGCTTGAGAAAATAGCTTATGAGAATTTGGAGAATAAGAAGATGAACTATGGAGTAAAATGATTCCCAGTTAAAAGAGCATGATTCAATGATCAGAAAAATAAATAAATAAATAAAAGAGCAGGTGTATATTGTAAGTGAATTATTGTCCACTTGTAGAAGACATCTCTGTGCAATCTGAATGTGACACTTGATATTGCAAGATATATAGTTCTGAAAAAAAAAACTCCTAATTTTGAACATATCATAGTAAATATTTATCTCATTGTGGCTTCCAGTGCTTAAAAAAAAAGGTGAATAATCAGAAGCTAATAGAAACGTAATTTGGTGGGTCAAGTAAGGTTTCTGATAAGAAATAGGAAGGATTTGGATAATGAGGTGATAAAGTAGGTAAAATGAACAGAATATGCTCCAAAAACAAATCACATGTTAATAAATGCTGACCTATCTGGATCAGGTTTAGTTCCACTAGAAGTAATTTTAATGTTCAAAGTTATAATATGAACAGAATGGAGCCAAAGCTTATCACTTCCATGCATCCTAGGAATGGATCCTTTGGCAATCAGATATATTCAGAAAATATGTCAAGGTATGCACTATACTATGCAGAATCAACGGCCATTATTGCCTCCTCTTCTAATATGAATCTTATGGATATGGATTGAGCACCATGCACTACTAGAAATCATCTTCTCCAGATCGAAGATTTTCAGAAATGGCTTAAAATAAGGAAAATAAATCAAATCAAAGCATTGCAGGATGTTGCATTGTGTAACACTAGGGATTTGGGGTATGTGGGATAGAAATTCGCCTGGTCAAATGGCCAACTTAAGCAAGCAATATGCAGGAATGCTTGGTCTGGCTATAGCTTCAATAAGTGGTCTCAGGCTTTCCCATCTACCAAGAAAACCTCAAGAAGAAAAGCTATTCCATTCGAGGATATATAAAACAGAGATGAATCATGTTTGCAAATGTCCAAAGATTGTTGGCAGAAACTATACGAACACATACCTGAGACTCCTTTAATGCAGAAGTTTCAGATATCAGGAATGCATTTGAAAGAATGAGAAGCAAACATTTATGCTAATCTTCTTACTGCCCTGAAGTACTTTGTTTCTGCAATGAGCGAGGTCCTGCAAAGAAAGTTATCATGAGGTGGCAGTGAGGAGAAATATTTCAGCTGATTTTAAAGCTTTACTATGTCAAACGTTTGTGAAGTTGCCATGGACTTCCCCAAAAGTTGGAGCAGTTTCATTCCAACACCACCAAAAGAAAGTCCAAAGGAAGAAGCATTCCCATTTTAGTTAATCAGCTAACTATCTCTCTGGTTGTGCCGAACAAAAATTAAATTAAAAATAGTCCAATTAATGGGGTACCTGCCAATATGGGACCTTTTGAGGGTCAATGTAAACAATCTCATTCCTGTTAGCAGAGTGACTGTTTCTTTGACTCAAACCCAGCAAACAAAGTTAAATTAGTACAACATAAATATACTCCTTAAAAGTGAATGCATTACCAACAAAAATTATATTCTTAGCTAACCTGTTATAACTTCTCTCCAGCTTCAAGAATTAGGCTTGCAGTAAATTACCAGGCAAAGCAGATGTCTTGGTCCGGAAGAAATATGTATAGAAAGGAAAATGGTATTTACATTCAAAGATAAAACTAATAGCAAAGTTTTGTTGTCAGCATTATATTACACCATTCATTCTGCACATTTTTTTATTAAGTTACAGTTTCTCTCCATCTATCAACTTTACTTTCCTCCCTCATCATCATGACTTTAGCAAGTAGCACCAGAGACTTCAGAGGCAACAGTCACAAGACCGATATTATATGATTGCATAATTTACACTGTAGATAAGATGTGCTTCGCCGCTGAAGTTCAGACTCCAGAGGAAGATAATATGCAACATGATATCTGCAATATATGGTCCCTATTCAGTTGATAATTCAGTCCTTTGTTTCCGCACTCGATCCCCCCAAGACAGATTGCCTTCTGATTTCTTATTCATGCTCCTCTTTTTCAACCCTGCAAGTTGATCTTGCCAACGGCTTCTCCAACCAGATCTTTCTTCCAGTTCCTGATAAAATGACTATGATTTAACATATAGCACATATATGAAAAGAACTAACAAAGAACTAAAGGAGAGGAACAAAAGGAATGTTGTAGAAAAAATTTAAAAAATAAAAGAGACAAGATAAGATGTATCAGTCAGGTTTAACATCAGTGAAAACGGTATCAAGAACATTAAAGTAAATTCTGAAGAACCTTGTTACAAACAGATCTTCCAAAGTAAAGAAAAACAAATACAACAAGCATAATAGAAAACCAGTTTCTCTCTCTCTCTCTCTCTCTCTCTCTCTCTCTCTCTATATATATATATATATATATATATATATATATCTAAACAAAAAGAGTCAGATACTATTAAGAAAGTAAACTATTGAATATAGGGGAAGCATGCAAAATTTGAAAGAAAAATAGCTTTAATGAGTCTTTTTTGTTAACTAGGGCAAATTGTGTTTGTAGTGGTAAGTCAGAAACAGTCACATGTTAATAATAGCTGAACTATAAACAGAAGACAGATTTGAGGAGCAGAAACATGATTCAAGTCAAATAAATACTTAAAATTAAAATAATACTTGAAACAGAACAAAAAGAGAAGCCTGACTCCAACCCCTTGCATCTATGCAAATGGCATAATACATACATTAACTCATGGATGCATATACAATATGGAGAATTACAGGCATCCCTACATGATTGGCATAGATCCAGCATGCCAACCACATAATCAACATTTAGAAGATTACCGAAAGAGTTCATAATGTTCATTATGACGAAATTATCAGAGAGAGTTGAATTCCTATCAGGAAGGATCAACATGTGAAAAACCAACTTCACAATGCTCAGACTCTGAATAAGTAAATAGAAGCAGTACCAATTTTATTCTGTGGTTTCATGTTCCTGTGTGTGATTTGAAGTAAAATTTTCATTTTCTGTTACAGGAATCAACATAACTGACTCATCTAGGAAATAAATAGTTAAGAGTAACCTGAAGTCCGGACATTCATAATCTAGTCTCGATAATGAAAGAGGAACACATTTTCTTTGAAAAATGTGATTGAGAAATCCCCTTTCCACCCATCGGCATACCGAACTTAGCAGCAGCTTATCAAGCAATAAATGTTACAGCCTTCCAGAAAACAGGAACATATATATGATTTCCAACTTATTATTTTCTCAGGGCAAACTAGTACGAAAACAAGAAAAATGAGCTTTAATTGTGAATGATCGAGAAAAGCATGAAACAAAATAGCTGTGAACAACCCAAATCCTATCTCAAGATTACCGACCTCATCGACCCGCCGCCTGGCGGAGAAAGCGAGATGCAATCCCCGCGTCAAATCCCGATCATAAAGCGCCCGCAGTCGGGGATCCGACAGCGTCTCGTAGGCCTCCTGCACCTCGATGAACCGCCGGGTGTACTCCTCCGCCAGATCGGGAGGCGACACGTCCGGGTGGTACTTGAGGGCCATCTGCTTGTACGCCCTCTTGATGTCGTCGAAGCTGCCGCTCTCAGGAATCCCGAGCAACTCGTAGAAGCTGCCCCTGGCCTTGGCCCCTTCCCCGACGGCCGCGCGTGCACGGAAGGCCGACGACGGGAGCCGCGTCCACCCTCCGCCGCCTCCCGGCCACTGGGCCAACCGGAAGA